TTAAATACAATAGCAAAATGAGAAAAAAAAACTTTACTCCCCCCATATAAAAATAATAATTGTTGTTGTATTAGCTAAAATCAATCGCATTCGTTTGTTGTTTGGTGAAAGTGAATTCAACAGAAAACAATCACACAGTTAATAGCAAACAAATATGAAAATATAAATGTCAAACATAAAATTTCTTTCAACAAACTACAAATAATAACCAACAATCAAAGACATCAAACAAACAACCAACAAATAACAACTGCAAATACAAGTATAACTTGTTAATTATTTAAAATTCTTCTTCTACTACTCTCTCGTTGGAGACGGGGCGCCGTTAAAGAACGACCAACGGAGGACAAACGACTTGCAACGGTGTAGTGGGCAGCATCATCATGAACAGAGTTTGCAGCGCGCGCATCGAAGGAGCGTGCAGTGGCCAATCGATTAGAGAGAGAGAGAGAGAGAGAGAGAGAGAGAGAGAGAGAGAGAGAGAGAGAGAGAGAGAGAGAGAGAGAGAGAGAGGGAGGGAGATGCAATTACGTCATTGGGTAGGGGGATTTGTTTTCCATATAAGAGATTTATAGTTTGAGGGTATTTATGTCTATATACTTTTAATTTTATTTGGTTTATATTATGTTTTCTTGTCAAATGTCCTACACTTATATTCATCTAACAACTTAGATCTCTACCCATATAAGTTTGAAATAAGGGGTGTCTACTTAATTTCGGGTGAATGGCAAAAAGGCATCACAAGGGACTTAAATGCACATTGGTCGACAAAAAAAACAGTCTTTCAAATAAACCCATCCCCATGTCTTTAGTGTAAAATAGCCTCCATAATATAATTCTTATCAATTCCATCCATTATGCTCCAACTTCCTTAATATTACATGTTAACCCCTGATTTAAACAAATATATCACATTAACCCCCAAAATAATAAAAAAAAATCAGAAAATAATTTTTTTTTTCTGAATTTTTTTTTCCGGCCAGATTCCGGCGTTGACTTTTTTTTTTTTTTTTTTTTTTTTTTTTTTTTTTTTTCTGAAAACTTTTTTTTCTGAATTTTTTTTTTCCGGCTCGTCAACCACCGTTGACCGCCGGCCTTCGGCGTTGATTTTTTTTTTTTCTAATTTTTTTTCCTAGAAAATATATATTTTAATTAATATTAATGTCTTGGCTACTAAATTACTGTCGCAGATAGTAATATTACTGTTTGGGACAGTAATATTATGAATATTATTTTCCCGAACAGTAATATTACTAATATTACTGTATGAGACAGTTAAATTACTGTTGGAGACAGTAGCTTAGCAGCCAAGAGAGTAATATTACTTAAAATAATTTTTTTTAAGAAAAAAAAAGATCAATGAACTACTGTCTCTGACAGTTAAATAACTGCTGGAGACAGTAATTTAACAGCCAAGACAATAATATTAAATAAAAATATTTTTTAAGAAAAAAAAAGTCAATTAACAGTTAAAAAACTGCTGGAGACAGTAATTTAACAACGAATACAGTAATATTAATTGAAATATTAAAAAAAAATTCAATTAACAGTTAAATTACTGTCTCCGACAGTTAAATAACTGCTGGAGACAGTAATTTAGCAGCCAAGACTGTAATATTAATTAAAATATTTTTGAAGAAAAAAAAAAGTCAATTAACAGTTAAATTACTGTCTCCGACAGTAATTTAGTCGCCAATACAGTAATATTAATTAAAATATTTTTTTTAAGAAAAAAAAATTATTAAAAAAAAAAGTCAACGCCGGACACCCGGCGGTCAACGGCGGTTGACCTACTGGAAAAAAAAATTCAAAAAGAAAGTTTTCAAGAAAAAAAAAAAAGTCAACTCCGGAGACCGGCGGTCAACGGCGGCTGACCGGCGGTCTCCGGCGGTGGCGGGTCAAAATTAAAATTAGGGTTAAAATTGGTTAATTGTTGAAATTGGGCTAAATTGGGGTGTAACTCATGAAATTGGAGTTGAATTGAGTTTCAATGAATTGAGGGTAATTTTGGTATATATAAAATGATTTTCCTTATTTGCAAGTAAGTTTGAATGAGCTGGATTTATTTGAAAGATAAAAAAATTGGATGCTTCTCTTTTAATTAAGAGCCCTTATCATGAGCCTGTTTGCCATTTGCCCCTTAATTTCCCCCTATTTAAATACTCCTTACAAAACCCCTATGCATTTTTTCTTTTATTATTGTAAGAATAAATATTTTGTAAATGTGTGTGCGGTGTATTTGTGAGGTGTGTCTGTGTATGAGTGTAACTCCTCTTCATTTCTTTAATTGCTAAGAACAGCTCCTCCAAATATTCTAAGAGAAGCCCGAGACATTTCTCTAATTCCTAATAAGACCCCCATATTTCCTATATTCCAAATGAAGCCCTTATTCCTCCTCGTAATACTCCACACCAAAAATCAGCCAGATCTCCCCAAGAAGAAGAAATCTCTTCTTCCACTTCAAAGCCAAAAAGCCTTTCCCATTAAGTCTCTCTTTCTTGGCCAAGTTAAGTTAAGAAAGAGACTTCACCAACCCCTTTCCTACTCCTCTCGATCGGCAGCCCCCCAAACACACACACCAAACCTTTCCCTTCTCTCTTCCACTACTCAGTGGCGGATCCAGGACGAAAATTTAGGGTATGCCGACTGTGCCGAGTCCAAGAATTTACTGTATAGTGGGGTTAAATTTTCGGGGGTTCGGGGGCAGCGCCCCCGGAAAAAAAAAAATTTGAACCTTTTTTTGTTGGATAAATTAGGAGAAGGGAAAAAAGAAATTGAAACTTTTTATTTTATTTTTCTGGATAAATTAGGAGAAGAAAAAATTTGGGACTTTTTTTGTATATTTTGAATTTTGGGTGGACTAAATAATAATATAGATATAATGTAATGTGTTTTTGGGAAGAGGATGCTAAAAAAACAAGAAAAAATTTAGGACTTTTTTTGTATATTTTGAATTTTGGGTGGACTAAATAATAATATAGATATAATATAATGTGTTTTTGGGGAGAGTGGCTAAAAAGAAAAGGAAAAAAGTTAGGACTTTTTTTGTATATTTTGAATTTCGGGTGGACTAAATAGTAATATAGATATAATATAATGTGTTTATGGGAGAGGGGCTCAGAAGAAATTTAGACAAAAAAACTAAACAATACTTTTTTGTTCCATAATGGTTTCGAACTCATGACCTCAACTTTCAACTTGGAAATCTTTGCCACTAAGGCAAATTTATTTTCATTTTTTGGGGTGGTCCATGGCATACTTGGCCACCCCCTAGATCCGCCCCTGCCACTACTCCATCACCCAACCCATCGACCCCTCACAAGAAGAAATTATTTTCCTTCCATTACCGAACAAGACCCTTCCTTCTCCAGCCTTTTTTTAGCAATATCCAAGCTTTGCATGTGGAATCAAAGCCTATATCGCAGTTCCTTAATTATCTCTCTAACGATGGATTTTAGAAGAGACAGAATGATTGTGTTTATTTAGGTACCATGACCCTTTATATAACTGTAAAGTCCAGTTATATGATAAATGTGATTCAGCCCCATCAATAAAACACAATTAAACCATAATTGTCTATTTGTCTCTACATATTATGCCCATAATTATAGTTTAATACCCACTAGTCCAACTCAATAATATTTATTAGATCACAATTAATTTGATCTGTCTATTAGATAGCCATACACATTTAATTACATATGTAAGCCCACATAATTATTGAAATATTTCCAACAATCTCCCACTTGGGCCACATAAGTTATATACCTTATAAACGTGTACTCCTTATATTGAACTCAAATATTGCTATCATGTAAAAGAGTATTCCTTACAATCTCGTTCATTGACTATACTAACATAGGACTAAAGGGGATTTTGTCACATTGATCGTGTCTAAACCCTAGAGTAATCACGTATATCAATATAGCCAATCGACATAGATCAAATCTTTTTATGTAGCATGAAAATTACATATAACGTGATCTTAACATGCCTATTTCCAACTGGTCCTACTTAAATTTTATTGAGACCAAACCTTAACATAATTGTGCAAAGCGTAACCAAATACTTTATTTCTGCCGAAAACTAAATACACAAATTTGTGTCAAAACATATCATAGAGCTACCAAAATGGGTTTATATATCACTAGGCCAAAACAGCTCACTTGCGACGTTTTTTTTGGCGACGATTCTGGAATCGTCGCTAGTTTGCGACGATTTTGACTAAAAAACGTCGCAAGATATCGGACAATAAGATTTCGATGGAATATCTCGCGACGATAATAGTAATCGTCGCAACTATGCGACTAATCTCATTAAAACGTCGCAAACGAAAAAAAAAATAATAAAGCACTCTCGTAGCGACGTTTTTATATAAACGACGCATGAAAAATGTTTTTTGCAATTTATTTTTTTACCTTAGCGACGAATATGACGTATACGTCGCTAGTGCAATTGTGAAAAATAACATTTTATTGGGTTGGCGACGAATTTGGATAAACGTAGCGTAATAAAGAGGAAATATTAAATAATATTTATTCGTAGCGACGATAAGAGTTTATTCGTCGCAAGTAAAATATTTTGTTAAAAAAATTATAATTATTATTTGCGACTATAGTGTAATAATCGTCGCCAGAAAGTAATTATTGAAAAAATCCCGCTTTTCTGTAGCGACGTTTCTATACGTTTCCTAGTCTATTTAAATTTTCTTTTTGTTTGCGACGAAAGTGTTTAAAAACGTTGCTACGAGATTCGTTTAAATATGACGTTAACAAATTGTCGCAAACAATTTAATTAGACGGCAGGCCCTAATCCCATTTTCCCCATTTTCTCCAATTTTCTTCTCGTTTCTCTCTCTTTCTTCTCTTCCCCTCCGCCGGTGCCCCCCTCCGTCGGGGCCTCCCCCTCCGCCGCCGGCGTCCGCCACTGCCGCTGCTCTCCGCCGTCCGCCGCTGCGCTCCTCCGCTATCTCTCCTCCGCTATCTCTCCGCCGTCCGCCATCCGCCGCTGCGCTCCTCCGCCCATCTCTCCGCCGCTGCTCTCCACCGTCTGCCCATCGATTTCTCCGCCGTTGCTCTCCGCCGTCCGCCGCTGCTCTCCGCCGTCAATAGCTAGCCCTAATTTGCTCCTCTCTACCTAGCTCTCGATCAACAACCACGAAAAGGTAACTTTGATCTCCATGCTTATGTCAACATGAATTGATAGAATTCGTTTGGTTTTTGGATATCTGAAAACTTTGTTATAGTTTATTACGTCTAACTGAAAATTTGTTTGGTTTTTGGATATCCTTATTTTCCCCTCCCTAATATTGTTTTGTTTAGTAATTGTTTGCTTTTTCATTGAAGGGTTTGTGGGTAAAAAAATTTCCTTTTTTTCACATTGTGAACTGTTTTCAGTATTTATTGCAATTGATGTTCAGAAGATATATTTTCTTTCCGTTTACGGCGAAAATAAATTAGATATAATAGCATGAATTTGTGGTTGTATAAACATGGGGCTTTCTTTTTCTATTGGATATTTGTTCTTCTGACATTGGTTCTCTGAGATATGGACATTTCAAAAATGGTAAACATGTATGTAGGTGTTAATATCGTAAAGATGACTCCCTGATCTTGTTATCGTGGTTTTTTCTCCTTGTAGAATTATGTAATAATTTGTAATGTGGAACTGATGATGATTAGTTTACCTGTCACTCACCGTTTTTTTTTTAATTGAGCTTCATATAGATAGTCTTTCGTGTAATGAAACTGCTGGGAAGTCCATCTTGTTTTGATTTCTCCAACAAATTTTACTGGAAACACTTGCCATGCTTTTGTCCGGCGTTTATTTTTTTATTTTACCGTTTTCTATGCACTTCCTTCATATAATTCCTTGAACAATATGCTCTCTACTCTTGTTTCCATGCATTAATATCATTGACAATTGTTTGTTGCTCATTTACTTGGAAAACAATTCAACTATCTTCAGGAAAATGTCAAGACAAAACATCCTCTGTTGCTCTACGAGTCAAAGTTGTACAAACTACTCCAAGGAGGAAGTAATAATCTTTCTTTTTTTTCAAGTTTTAATTGCTAGGTGTTCTTTTCGTTTTTTTTAAGGGTTCTAAATGTGGTAATTTCCAATTGTGGTAGCTAGAATTCCAAATGTCAGATGGTTTGGGGTTGAAGGAGACTATAATGTTCTCGTGATGGATTTATTGGGACCTAGTCTGGAAGACCTGTTTAACTTCTATAGTCGGAAGCTGTCTCTAAAGACTTTTCTCATGCTTGCGGATCAAATGGTATGGTATTCTGTTTGCTTGTGCTTTTGGTCAAGATCTTGAACAATTTCATGTTTCATAATGTACTGATAATGTCAATTTTATTTTCAGATCAATCGGATAGAATTTATTCACTCTAAATCTTTCCTGCATCGATATATTAAGCCCGACATTTTTCTCATGGGTTTAGGGAAGCGTGCAAATCAGGTATCCACCCTTTTCCTTATTTTGATTTTCTAATTTTTTGTGCTGTTTTGGTTTTAGAATATTTGTCCAATCAATGACTCTATCAATTTGACCGGTAGGTTTATGCCATTGATTTTGGACTTGCCAAGAAATATAGAGACTCCTCAACTCATCAACATATCCCATATAGGTAAGCTGTCTTCAATAATGATACCTTCAAAACATGGATCTTCAGTATGTATTTAGGCTCTCATTGTTGACTTCTTTGTAAAATTTCTATGATATATTCAAATCCATATTGTATTTTGATCAGCATAATTCAGCTATATTATACTGTTGAATGCAGAGAAAATAAAAATTTGACTGGAACAGCCAGATATGCAAGCATGGACACGCATCTCGGCATTGGTATGCATGTGGTCTTATGACATATCACTTACTCTTTTGACATTTGAGATTAAAAAAAATGATATCGTGTTGCTTTCATGTCTGATTTTGCTCCACTGCTTTGACCAATCATAGAACAAAGTCGCAGGGATAATGTTAAGTTGTTGTATACATGGATGGTTTTTTTGGGATGTTCATTTATTAGTTGTTATGCTGTCGAAATTTTTGCTAAACAAGTGTACTTAATCATTTTCAGGCTGATTTGGAACGAGTGTACGATGAGACAATGCGTGATGGAAGTGACGAAAGCACGACCAACTCAACTGCGATAGAAAAAGTGCTTGAAAAAAGCAAAGGGCTTGGAATTAAGATTGCAACCACCACAAAGAGTTCAAAGTCGAGATTTTCTTCAATTCCGCCGGAAGTGCAAATGGAAATGAATTCAATGAAAGAGCAAATGCAACTTAAAGATGAAAAAATGGAAAGATTGGAAGCGGAATTGAAAGAAACCCGAGAAATTGTGAACACCTTGGTCGGCCGTTTTGGTTTTTGAACTTTGTTTGGTTTTTGAATTAAAGTTTGAAACACTACATTATATGCTTTTAAGTTTTTATGTACTTTTTTAATTTATGTTTTGTGCTACTTTGATATTTAATCCGTATAATTGGTTTTAATAATTTTTTTTTGATTGAAGGTTTTAATATTTTTGATAAGTGTTATTTTTTTTTTGTACAACTGCTGAATACAGGTTGAATTTGTTAATTGAAAAAATAAATAAACCAGAATTTATATATATATATAAAAGAAAACTTGCGACTAAAATACAAAATAGTCGCAAACAGAAATTGTAGTAACTAGCGACGAATAAATAAAACAAATTGTCGCAAATAACTCGTGGGTCTTGCGACGAAAATGGCTATTAGTCGCAAATATTTTCGAAAATGTAGCGACGCAATCGTCACAAAACGTCGCTTTATGTAGCGACGAACATATAATTCGTCGCAACATGTTGCGACTTATTATTTGTTCGTCGCAACTGGGAAGCGACGAAAGTATAGGATCCGTCGCGAACATTAAAAAAACATTTTTTTTCAGAAAATACGAATTTGGCGACGATTTATGAAATTCGTCGCCAAACTTGGCGTCGAAAATGACTTTTCGTCGCAGACCTTGCGACGGGGAGTTTGGCGACGTTTTCTGTAGGATTTGGCGACGACAAAAATTCGTCGCAAACATTAAAAAATCGTCGCCAAATGTACATTTTCGTCGCCAGTCGACCATTTTGGCAGTTAATTTTTTTTCAATTAACAACAAGAACTTGTAAAGTTCTTAGTTGTGAGGGTACAGGGTGAACAACACATAGAGAGCATTTTAAGATAAACTCAACAACTGCGGATCCGCTTACTAAAGGATTAACACATAAGGTATTTCATGAGCATTGCTCATATAGGTGTTATATCATTTAAGGATATTATGGTTCAGTGAGAGTTTGTATGTATGTGCTATAAAAAAAAGAATAAAAATCAATGTATTGGCAGATAATGTGTAAGCAGAAGCATAAATTGAATAAAGGACATAAAAAATGATATGCTCACATTATAAAACCAAAGGTGACTTTTAAATTTTAAATAACTATGAAATACATCTAAAGATGCCTAGCATAACATTAATATCAAGTCTTAGGGACAATAATATTAAATTTAGGGTTAATGAGATATAAACCCCTCTGTAAGAAATATTAGGACTAACCACACCATTTAATTTCAATAAGGCAAACCTCCTCAATTAGTGATTTACCATGTGTACTCCATATTTTGTGTTAGACAAAGACCCCATTAATCTTACGAGAAACAGAGACATTCATAAAAGTTAACTATTTTCCTAAACTACAGCAATTACGCTGGAAATCTTCCAAAAATTTCGCCTGAAGAAATCTACTTGTTATCTACCTCTTCCTAAAAACATGCTCTCTCCATCTTCTTCTCTTCTTCTCCATCTCCCCTCTCTCCAAATTTTCTCTTCCATCTTCTCAATAAAAACAGTTTGCTATGTTCAGCAACGGTGGAGGGCCAGCGGTGTGCACCGGCGGCGATGGGCAGATGTTCACGGCAGTGGCGGCGAAAGGCGGTTATGTGCAGCACGGCGGTGAGCGGTTGTACAGGGACGTCGAAGAGTGGTGATTTGCGACGACCATATGCGATGATTCGGAATTCTCCCATGGTTGATTACTCAAGAATGAAGTTTGTAAACAAACATTTTTTAGATCTACAAATCCATGGTCGCATTATTTGTTGACTCGTAAATATTTGTTTCCATGAAATATGTTTTATCAGAGTCCACAACAAAGAAGGGATCGTTGTTTTGGCGTAAAAGATAAAATATTGTAGTCATCTACACCCACCGTCAACTATAAAAAACTTGTAGTTCACTATATTGTTGCAAATATAATTTTTTCGATGACAACTATAAAAAAATGTAGTCAACTATAAAAAAATGGGTCTTAACTATATTGCTGCCAGAGTTAACTATAAAAATTAGATATTCGACTATAATTTTTCGATGTCAACTATAATTTTTTCATTAATTCACTATATTATTTTTCAATTTAAGAAACTATGGTGTTGTAAAATGGAATACTGACAATAATAAATCTCATCTCCGGGGAAAACATGACATTTCGTAGAGTAGAAAATAGATTAATTTCAAAGACAAAAAATGAGATGTAGAAGAAAAGGCAAAGCAGTAGGACGAAATGGAGAAAAATAAAGGGGAAAAAAAGAAACATAAAGAGACGTGGATAGAGAAAATGGGGGAATAGAGAGGAGAGAAGAGAGAGGGAGAAGAAGAATAAAACAAATAACAAGTCAAAGTGAGGAAAAAAAGAAGAGAGAGAAATGAATGGAGAATATAAAATGACGGATAAGAGAGAATTAAGAAGAAGAGAGAGAAATGAGAAAAATATTGACAAAAAAGGGCATAGTGGGCATTACCTAATGAGGGGGTTATCCCTCATTTTCCCTCAATTTTAAGTGACACTCTTGTTATAGGTATCAAACATTAATAATAAATCGTGCAAAATAATAAGTTCATCGTACGGATGTAACTTTTATCCACATGGAGCTAAATACTCATCACATGTTTGTTACCACACTTGCATATGTGGTTCGACCAAGTATTAACCTATCGTAGGGGTAGTGTTAAACATTCGCCTGAATTCACATACACATAAATATCTTGACATTCTCAATTTGTTCTTTTACATGTCAGATAAACTTAATAACAAATCATTAAATGTACCCAAAAATTTAAAGTTGTTGTTGAACTCTAAGGCTTTAAAGTTCTAACCTGAGCGCTAACTGATGTGATCCTAACTAACTCCAGTACAAAGAATTAGAAGAAGAGAAAGCGTGTCAGTGTAATGAAATTGGTCGTGTTCAGAATGATAAGAATCAGCACAAGGGAGTTTATTGAAGAGTCCGTGGTTTGGAATTGGAAGAAAAGAAAGAGGGAAATTCGTTGGACAAGTCGAATTCATGCATCCCGAAAGTCCCGTATGATTCTAACTATTTCGTGTCAGGTGCCACGTTTTAGTAGATCGAAGTATACGAGGTGAAATCCGAGAGGATGAAGATCGAAGGATCGAAAAATCGAGGAGCAGCCACCGAGCAAACGACGCACGCGCTTCCACGCGCCGCCCGAAGACAGCACATGATCCACACGCGCAGCCGTTGCTCACGCCGTCGCTGCCGCCGCTTCGCCGTCGCTGCCCCGGATTGCACGGATTGGTTTCCGTGGCAATCTTGCTTCATTTCGTGCGCCTACCTCACGCTTCAAGAGGTGAAGTTTCGAATTCGTTGTAGTTCGATTCGATTTAATTTAGATTAAATATGCATGTTCGTATCGTAAATATATTGTATGATTTTATGTATATTATACGGTGTTCTAAAAATCGGCCGAGGCGGCCGATTAATCGGTCACCGAGGCGGAGGCGGTCCAAAACCTTTACGATTTTAGTGTAAAGGTTTGAAAAATCGGTTTTTTGCCTGTGAGGCGGTTTTAGGCGGTCTGAGGCGGTCAAACCTTTAAGGCGGGTCAAACTCGGTGGCAAAAATCGGTCAAAAATCGGTTAAAAATCGGTTTTTTTTTTCCTTTTTTTTTCTTTTCGTTTTATAATTCAAAATAAAAGTTTAATTTTAATAAAAGAAAATATGAGTTTATGCCTTATTTTGTTTATGTTAATAGTTATTGTTAAAGAACTAATGATGTATGCCAGGAATATTCAAGAATAAATGTTAATTCAAAAATTTTGCATTTTTATTTATATTTTAAAAGGATCTTTATGTATTATGATCTTATAATTATTAAACTTTTATTATGTTATTAGGATATATATGTGATGGAAATATAACTATGTTTAAATATCTTTTTATATATGTTTGGAGTATTTATAAATAAAATTTTGAAATATATTATATTAAATTTTAAAAACCGATTTATTTTCGATTTATCACCGATTAATCACCGCCGCACCGATTAATCGTGAGTCGGTGTCTGACCGACTCGGACCCGATTACCGCCTTTTAAAACCTTGATATTATATGATTACATGAAATTCGTTATTTACTGCGAGCATGATTAATTGATTTAATGTGAGCATGCTAATTGATTTAATGTCGATTAAATAATTCGCATGTATGTTGTTTTTAATTTCGGTGGAAGCGCAAATGTACGCAATTAATTGTTTTCAATTATCGGGCATGTGATTATGTGTTCTAAATTCGTTTAATTCGCATAATTTTTTTGTTTTCCGCTGCGTACACGTGCCCGATACCCAACATTAATAAGAAAGACCGATATCCTCATTGGTGGCGTAACTCTTCGACTATGAACATGGTTTAACAGTTATAATACTTAAGTAAATATCTTATGATCCTAATAGATCAACTATAAGTAATTATAACTGTAAGGACTATATCTATGCTTATACAAGGGACAAGAATATAGAATGCCAAAAGGTGTTTCATCATTAATACGAAAATGATTATTTATTACAAGAATAAATGAAAGACCACAGCCACAAGTTGGCTTGTTGGTCACCTACTCTAACAGAAACCGTTGTGGTTTTGAAAGCCATGCACTTGGCAAAGGAAAAGGGTTGGTGGAATATTGTTCTTGAGGGAGATTGTATTCAACTTATACATGTATTGGGCAACAAAGACAGTGATGGATCTTCGTACGACGCGATCGTGGAAGAATGCATTTATATTGAGAAATTTTTGGATTCATGCTCTTTTCAACTTATCAAACGTTCGGGCAATTGTTTAGCTCATAATATTGTTAAGATTCGATGTAATGGTGTCATGGAAGATTCGAATCTCCTATCTCTGTTAGCAGATCTCATTTAATAAAATGAGTTTTTTGCAATAAAAAAAAAAAAAAGTAGTGCGAATAGAGATTTTCATTTTAGGAGAAATTTAAGGAAATAATTCAAAGGACTCCACATAAAGTGAATTTTAATTCATAATAATAACAAATTGGTTTGAATTGAGTCATTTGAGTGCAAAAAATTGAAACCCTTATCGGATCTAATTTTAAGCTATCTTTTAAGCAATAGTGGTGGATTTCATTTTTTTTTTATTTTCCGTCATCTAGAATTATTTTAAATTTTATTCATTTTAAACAATTTAGTTCAATGACATCTGTCAAAAAAATACTTATTTGAAATCTATTAATCAAATCATTTTATCCAAATGCAATATTAAGAGCATCTGCAACGCTAAACTAAAAAAAACTCTAAAAATCCTTGGTGTCAACTACTAAGTGTGAATCTTAAAATATTCTCTATCTTATTTGGCAAGATTCAGATTTTCTATTGCAAAGTCTTCTCCAATGCAAAACTCAAGACCCATAATATTTTCTTAGGTGTAATTTATTATTGAGTTTTAAATTAAAATAAAACTATTAATTTATCAAAAAAAGAAAACATATCCCTCCAAAAAAGAAAAACTTTTTTATTTCCATTTTCATTCCCGCTTTAATACTAGTTGGGCATATTCATATTTATTTCATAAGAGAGAAAAAAAAGTAGCTAGGGTTTTTTGGGGAAGGAAGAACGTAACTCGAGAGAGAGAGTAAAAGTTTTGAGAATGAAAACTTTCGTATATTCATGTCTTGTGCGTGAATTTTCTCTTTACATGCTGATCCGGACTAATTTTGGCCTTAAGGAGAAGCCCAACAGTTAAAGTGAGGCCCAGAAATCAGGCCCGACTTGGGCCCAGGTCAGGATCAGGGAAGCCCAATACCACAACTATCGTAAGAAATCACCGAGGGTAAATACCGAGGTATATAACCTACGAGATAGGCTGACGCGGTAATTTTTAGGCCGGCCAAAGTAATCATTACGTCGGGCTCTCGAAGGCCGTGCATGGGACAACTCTGAAAAGAAGAAGATGGGGTGCCAGGCTTGAACTGACCGAAGAACAGTAAAAAGGACCAATAGGAACACGCCACGTGGCATTGTAGACAGAATGACGGCTTCTTCACCTAGGAAATGTAAACAGCCCCAGAGAGGCCATATTGAAGTAGTATATATACTAGGTCATAAGTAGTGAAGATGACATGCTTTTTCTTATGCAATATATTGGGCCACTTACATACATCATTTTATACACATCTCCAATTAACCATACCACTTACATTGTCTAAACAATCTCTCTCAGTTACATTATTTAGTGATCTTATACACATACAAGGTATGAATGTCCAAATCCATGGCCAAATCTAATAATTTATTGAACAAAATAAAAAGGAAAAACTCCTATTATTGTATGTGACTAAACTTGACACATCAAATGGCGCCGTCTGTGGGAACATTGAGTTACAGACGTGGGTTTTATTGTTTTTACTATAATATTCTGTTTCGTTACCTCGTTTTTTCTCTTTTTTTTTTTTTTTTTCATACAAGGATCTAAGGTAACGAGGGCAATGGGTGAAGAGGGCTCAGGTGTCCACTTCGCAACGGTAGAAGCATCGGCGTCCCGACAAGAGAGCCCCACCACGCCGGTTACTCCGGTGGGACGAATGGCACCCCTGGTCGAAATACCTCCTACACCTCTCTCACTTTCCATGGAGGAGGTTCAGAGAATGGTGAGTCAGGCCGTGCAGCAAGATCGAGCTAGCAGAAGGATCACTAAAGTCCGTCCGCCTCGCAATGTGGTGCCGAGGACCCCTCTCTGGGATGAGGGAATGAATGTGGGGCCCTCCGCTAGGTCTTCTATCCCGCCTTTGAGACAGCAGCGAGGTAACCCATTCTCGGCGGAGATCATGGCTTCGGATTTGCCAGTAGGGTTCCAGGCTTTGGAACACCTGGCGTACGATGGGACGACAGATCCTTGGGATCACATAAGTCGATTTCAGACCACGTCTTATTTACACCGGTTCTCGGATGGGATTATGTGCCGCGCATTTGCGACCACGCTGCGAGATGCAACCCAGTTATGGTTCGGACAGCTGGCGGAAGGGTCAGTGCGAGACTTCGACACTTTCAGTGCCATGCTGTTAGACCACTTCGCTAGTTCTAAAAAGCAGAAGAAGTCGGCTCTCACCCTGTTTGGAGTTCGGCAGGAGGATCGGGAGCCTTTGAGGAATTTTATACGTCGCTTCACAAATGTCAGCCGAGAAGTACCGGGCCTATCCCAGGATGTGCTCAATAATGCCCTCATGCAGGGGTTGAGGGATGGAGAATTGTTTAGGTCGTTGGCTAAGCGGGCGCCGACGACGTATGACGAGCTCTTGAAGCGAGCTGAGAATTACATCGCAATGGAGGAGGCAAAGAAGATGAAAGAACAAGAAACCGCGGTGGTTCCTGTCCATGATACCCCGGTAAGGAGTCCCCCACGTGAAGAGAACTTACCTAGGCAGCAACGTCATCCCGCAGCTCGCGCAATCCCAGTACCGGAGCATCGGAAGCCTCGATATACGAGCTACGCCGTCCTCAATAAATCACCAACCCAAGTTTTGATGGCGATAGAGGGAGGGTCAGACATTCGTTGGCCAACGACGTACCAGAAGACCCCGCCGCCGCCGCAAGGCTCTAGCGATGACGGGTATTGTCGGTACCACAATCGGTACGGTCATCGTACCAATGAATGTGGTCATCTTAAGGACAAGCAAGAAAGGTTAGCCCGGCAGAGTCGAATAGATCAGTTCGTCAAAACACTGGCGGAGGGGCATACTGCTGGTAGGCATGTCCCGCAACCCCGCGCCTCGGTGGAGCCGATAAACCGCATTATAATGATCATGGGAGGGCCAACGGATGGGGACTCGCACAGGGTGAGGAAAAAGTATGTCCGGTCGGAGAAAAGGGCCTTCACGGGGGAATGGATCCACCAAGTACGGGAATGCTCGCCAACCATTTCGTTCGGAGAAGAAGACAAGCTAGGGGTAGTTCGCCCCTACAGCGATGCTTTGGTGATAACCGCGCATCTAGCGGGATACGAGGTATCCAGGGTTTTTGTCGACAATGGTAGCTCGGTGGATATCCTGTATAAAGAATGTCTAGACCAGATGCGTCTAGGAGAATTAAATGTTAGCCTGGTAAAAACGCCGGCTATGGGTTTTCGGGTGAGGAAGAGGTGGCCATTGGCGAGGTGTCTTTACAGATAACTTTGGGAACATCGCCTTTGACGCAAACCCACACTATACGCTTCCTAGTAATGGACACCCCATCCACGTACAATGTGATATTGGAAAGGCCGACCTTGAACAAATTTGAGGCTATCCCGTCAACAGTTCATATGAAGTTGAAGTTTCCTGTAGGAAGAGAGGTAGGCGAGGTAAGAGGGGACCAGGAGGACTCTCCAGACGTTGTTATGCAGACGGAGTGCGAGTAGACAGCAGAAAGCTAGGAGAAGTAATACATTCATTGCGAGAGGTACAAAGGGCGGTGGACACTGATAATAAGAAAACCTTGGGTGACTCCGATGGAGGAATTGTTAACAATAGAGTTACGACCACAGACGCTGGGATGCACTACGCGAATCGGTAGCGAGATGGGTGGGGAAGTACGTCGAGAGTTAACGGCATTTCTACAGGAGAATCATGATGTATTCTCGTGGGTCCCGGAGGATTTGAAGGGCATCAATCCCAAGTTTGTCCAGCATCAGCTGAATATTCGGACCGACGCCCGGCCAGTAAAACAGAAGAGATGCCATTTAGGGGCAGAAAAGGACGGGATAATAGCTACTGAAGTAGAATGGCTTCTACAGGCGGGACACATCAGAGAGATCAAATTTCCTAATTGGTTGTCCAATGCAGTACTAGTAAAGAAAGCAGATGAAAAGTGGCGAATGTGCATCGATTTCCGAGATATTAATAAAGCTTGCCCCAAAGATCATTACCCTTTGCCAAGGATTGATCAACTGGTAGATTCCACGGCGGGGTATAAATTACTAAACATGATGGATGCTTCGCAGGGGTATCATCAGATCATGCTCCATCTGGATCATCATAAAAATGTCAGTTTCGTTACGGCTGCGGGCACATATTGTTATATCGTTATGCCGTTTGGATTGAAGCATGCTGGGGCGACGTATCAACGGCTGGTGGATGCCATGTTCCGTGATCAGCTGGGGAGAAATATGGAGGTATATGTTGACGACATGTTGGTCAAAAGTAGGGAAGCAAAGACTCATGTCGAGGACCTGAGGGAAACTTTTGCGAAGTTACGGAAGTACGGAATGAAGCTCAACCCGGCGAAGTGCTCTTTTGGGGTGCGGGCAGGAAAGTTTCTGGGGTATATGGTGACCGAGCGGGGTATCGAGGTAAATCCAGAGAAGGTGCAAGCTGTGCTGGGTATGAGGTCCCCGAGAACGGTCAAAGAGGTTCAGGTCCTAACAGGAAGAATGGCGACATTGGGAAGATTTATCTCAGGTTCAGCAGCGAGAAGCTTACCCTTCTTTGAAGTATTAAAAAAGAATAAAGCTTTCGTATGGACGGCGGAGTGTCAGCTCGCATTTGATCAATTAAAGGCGTACCTCGCCCAAGTCTCCCTTCTCGCGAAACCAATAAAACACGAATCTCTTATTTTATATGTATGAGAGGACCAGCATAAGCAGTTCCCGTTCTACTTTGTCAGTAAAGTCTTGCAGGGCGCGGAACAAAGGTACTCAGATATAGAGAAGATCGCCTACGCGGTGATGATATCAGCCCGAAAGTTAAAGCCTTATTTCTTGTCGCATACCATCATTGTAAGAACTAATCACCCTCTAAAGCAGATATTGAGTAATCCCGAAGTATCGGGTAGAATGGTGAAATGAGCTGTGGAGTTAGGATAGTATGATGTGGAGTTCCAGCCCCGCGTCTCGGTAAAGGGACAGGTGTTGGCAGATTTCATACAAGAAACTACGCCGGGGTATGACGAGGTAGAGCACGAAGTATGGAAGGCCCACGTGGACGGTTCGTCCACTATTGGGGGTTGCGAGGTAGGAATAGTGTTGACCAACGCAAAAGGTGAGGTGTCTGAGTACGCGGTGAGGCTGGCATTTCGGGCATCCAACAATGAGGCGGAGTATGAAGCGATCAGGGAAGGACTCAGGCTGGCCCTGGCTGGGGGGTGAGATCAATCAAGGTATTTTCCGACTCACAATTGGTGGTTCAACAAATCAATGGGGCTTTCGACGTAAAGGACGATCGAATGGGCCGATATGTAACTTAGATAGCCGAGCTTATGGCCCGACTCGGTCATTGCGAGGTAACTCAAATCCCTCGGGAGGAGAATCGCCGTGCGGATTTCCTGGCAAAGATGGCCAGTTCGGCGGCAGGGGTAGGAGAACGACAAATATCGTTAAGAGTAAAGCCGGAGTGCGGCAGCAAAATCGAGGTCTTGAGCATTGCGGTAAAACAGGATTGGAGGCTGCCATTGTTGGCCCATCTACGAGGTGAAAAATTGGCAAGCCGAAAAGAGTAGGACAAAGTGACTGCGCGTGCGCGCTACTTCGTAGAGATTTGTGGGGAGTTGTATAAAAGATCGTTCGTCTCGGACCCGTTGAAATGCCTCAGCGACGACGAGGTGAAATACGCCATGAAGGAGATGCATGAGGGGTGTTGCGGCAATCACACTGGTGCCAAGAGCTTGGCGAGGCGACTTTTACAATTAGGATATTTTTGGCCATCAATGAAAAAATATTCGGGGGAATTCGTTAAGCGTTGCTCCAAGTGCCAAGAACATGCTCCGCTGATCCATATGCCGGCAGAGGAGCTGGGTATCATGACGTCACCCTTCTCTTTCTCTCAGTGGGGAATTGACATCGTAGGTCCTTTCCCGGTGGTTCCCGGCCGACGTAAGTTTTTAATTGTGGCAGTAGATTATTTTTCTAAGTGGGCTGAGGCTGAGCCTGTTACCTCGATCACCGAGGCTAGTGTTTTGAAATTTCTTTGGGAGAATATTTGTTGCCGATATGGGATCCCTCGCATACTCATCTCGGACAATGGAACGCAATTTAACGGCTCCAAAGTGCGAGCCTGGTGTGTCGAGATGGGTGTCCAGCAACGTTTATGTTCGGTAGCACACCCACAAGCTAATGGACAGGTGGAGGTGACAAACCGGATTATAGTGTCAAGGATAAAGAAGAGGTTGGAAGAGGACAAAGGGGCCTGGACTGAAGAGCTTGCATCAGCATTATGGGCATATCGGACTACCTTTAAGTCAGCAACGGGGGAGTCTCCTTTCTCACTTGTATACGGAATGGAATCGGTACTGCCCATCGAAGTGCGGATACCCAGTCGTAGGACTCAATCCTTCAGCACCGAGCAGAATGAGCCCTTGATAAGGGAAAGTTTGGATATGATCATGGAAACAAGAGAGGTAGCAGCAAGGCGCATGGAAAAGGAAAAAGCAACAATGAAGGCGAAGTATGACAGAAAAGTTCGTGGACATCGGTTCGAGGTGGGCGATATGGTATTAAGGCGAGCTGATGCCCTAAAGATGCGCGGTAAGCTTGAGGCGAATTGGGAAGGACCTTACAAGATAACGCAGCGGTTAAATGGGGGTGCGCATTGGATTGAAGACAAGTACGGGAAAAAGTTACCTCGACCATGGAATGTTTGTCACTTAAAGAAATTCTATTCTTAAATATCGGTCGTTCGCAAGATCTATTATTTTTGTAAAGGGCATATGTACCTCTATTTTTGTCTCGGTACGATATACCCCATCCCTTTTGATAATGAAGTATATGCATATATGCATTTTTGTGGAAAACAGGCGTTTCTTCCAAGATTACCGAAATAATAGGTGTAATCGGAATGATTGCACTGGAATAAGACGAGGTCAGTATTGACCTCGCATCCGAAATAATAAGTGTAATCGGAATGATTACACTGGAATAAGACGAGGTCAGTATTGACCTCGCATCCGAGATAATGAGTGTAATCGGAATGATTACACTGGAATAAGAGGAGGTTAGTATTGACCTCGCATCCGAGATAATGAGTGTAATCGGAATGATTGCACTGGAATAAGACGAGGTCAGTATTGACCTCGCATCCGAAATAATAAGTGTAATCGGAATGATTACACTGGAATAAGACGAGGTCAGTATTGACCTCGCATCCGAGATAATAAGTGCAATCGGAATGATGGCACTGGAATAAGACGAGGTCAGTATTAACCTCGCATCCGAAATAATAAGTGCAATCGGAATGATGGCACTAGAATAAGACAAGGTCAGTAGTGGCCTCGCATCCGAAATAATAAGTTTAATCGGGATAATTACACTAGAATAATTCGAGGTCAGAATTACTGCGGGAATAAGACGGTCAGGATTGACCTTGCAGCCGATTTAATGAGTTGTGTAAATTAATCAAGCAACGTCAATATTCACCTCGCATACAGAGCAGCTCAGCTTTTTAGAAAAGAAAAATGTTCAAAAAGAAAAAAGAGAAGGGGTGATGGGGATAACGGCACTTAAGTAAAACAAAGTCGGAACATAAAGATAGCGAGAAAGTAAATCAACTTATATTATAAATGTTTTGGTACAAAAAAAAAAAAAAAAAACCAGAAGGAAATATAATAATAGCCGACATAAGCCCTTAGTCTTGAGCATCTTCATCTGGGGTCGCCACATCATCAGCCTCGGCATCTTCCTCGCTGGCAGCAACCTTATCCACCAAATCAACAGGGCCTGCCCCGGTATATGGCCGAAGTGCCTCGTCCAGCGGGACTGTATACCACGGTTGCCCGTCACGGCGCACCTTTAAAGGTTGCCAAGTCGCTGGCATCTCGTTGGCAGACAGTCTTCCCATTACGTCGATGGGATCTAAGTGGACTGAGGCGCCAGCTTTCACAATATCCATCTGCGCTATCTTGATGGTATGCGAGACAGCAAACTCCGTATACGGCATTAAGAAGGTTAAAAAATCCGGAGAATTCCGGTACATATACCTAAGTTCTGCCGAGAACTTCTGCAGCATAGCCCTACCCTCGTCGGAAGGAAGGTAGGCACGGAAGCCTTCTTGCCAAGCCCGAGCTTTTTCCTCCTCAAAGGCTGCTTTCTCACGAACAAAGGCAACCCTCTCTTGTTCAAGAGCAGCCGCCTGCTCTGCAGCCCGCTTCTCCGAGATCACGATCTGATCTCGCAGAGCCCTCTCTTGCACCACCGAGGCAACCT